TTCCGCACGGATCATGCGATTCTGTAATTACTATACATAAATGTAACCCCTGGCTGGGGATGTAGAGCATTTGCCTTATATCCATGAGGTCCTGGGTTCAATCCCCAGCCCTGAAAAAAAAAAAGTAAATAAATAAAGTAATGCTTCTGAAATACATCTCTAACTCTTGTGCTCTTGTACTGTGTTATCATAAAAGATTACAGACAGAGCCAGACATAATGGGGCATGCCTGTAATCCTTGTGACTCAGGAGGCTGAGACAGGAGGATCCCAAGTTGGAGGTCAGCCTGAGCAACTTAGCATGACCCTGTCTCAAAACAAAATTTAAAAAAGGATTGGGGCCAGGCGCCATGGCACATGCCTATAATCCCAGAGACTCAGGAGGCTGAGGCAGAAGGATCAAGAATTCAAAGCCAGCCTCAGCCATAGGGAGGCACTAAGCAACTCGGTGAGACCCTGTCTCTAAATAAAATACAAAATAAGGCTCAGTGGTCGAGAGCCCCTGAGTTCAACCCCCAGTACCCACCCCCCCCCAAAAAAAAGGGTTGGGGATATTGTTCAGTGGTAAAGTATCCCTGGTTTCAATCCCCAGTACAGAAAAAAAGAAGGAAGACCAGGAGGAGGAGGAAAGAGAAGAAGGAAGAAGGAAGGAGGTTTAGCAGTGCACTAGGGGTGAAGGTCCTCCTGTCTACCCCTCACCCAGTGATTCCATGATGGAGCTCCAAAGCTGGGGAGATGGCTGGAGGGATTTCTCCCACTAATAACAGGAAGGGATTCCAGCCTGCTGCTCCTTTTTTGTTCATCTTCTGKGCCTCAGACATTGTAGGAGAAGCCTTTCTCATGAGCCTCAAGGTTGGCCCTGACATCCCTAAGCAACAGCTCTTCTGAGCTTCTTGTCCTCCTCAGCTCCAGACCCTCATCTCCAGATGGATGCCCTCTGGGCACCTTCCTCAGGAAGCTCCACTGGCCCCTCAAATGCATCATGTCTGTGGCACACAGTCTTCCCTGCTCCCCAAAAGTCATGCACCCCTGCTAACAGAAACCWGGTGTCTACAGGGAACCAAGCAGGTTTGTGATTGCAAAAGGAGGCCTTTGCGGCAGCCCCGGTCACAGGCACTGGGACACTTGAGCCAGTTCTGTTCCTTGAGGCTGGGAAGATTTACTTTCCACTTATTTTTGGGTGCTGGGGATAAAACCCAGGGCCTTGCACAGGCTAAGCATGAATTCCACCACTTAGCAACACCCCCAGCCAAAATTTTCCTACCCGATAAGAGAGAACCTTGAAAAGAAGAAAAAAGGAGGAGGAGGAGAGCTGCAGAACTTGTCCTCCCACCCCTTCTTTCTGGGGCCCCTGTAGCTTACAGGTGGTTCTCAGGCTGGCTGCCGCAGCCACATTGGAGTCAGGGACACATTACTAATAAAGTGAGAAATGTGCACTTATTTATTTATTTATTCAGGCACTGGAGGTTGAACCCAGAGTGCTCTACCACTGAGCTACATCCCCAGCCCCTTATGTTTTTTTTTTGTTTTGTTTTAATATTGAAATGGGGTCTCACTGAGTTGCCCAGCCTGGCCTCCGATAGTGAGCCTCCTGCCTCGGCCTTTGGCGTACACAGAGATTATAGGTGTGCGCCACCTCCACTGCCTGGAAAACATGCACTTTATTTTTCAAAATGACCCGAGGGATTGGACAGAGGCAGATCCAGTCTAGGGCCCGCCCCTCCCGCTGCTGCCTCACCCCATTACCCAGAGATGCCCTCTGGGGCTGAGCCAGGGAAGACGCGCCCCAAGGCCCTGAGGCCCTGGCCTTCCCCATGCCAAACCACAGGGCACAGAGCAAAGCACTAGCAATCAAGCCGTGGTGGTGGTGCCTGTTCCAGACTGGAAACGCTGCCTGCAGGCGGGCATTGAACCCACAGGTGGGCAGCCCCTCCCTGGAGGTGGGGGCAAGCCCTCCCCCAGGGCTTCAGAGGCTTAACCCTGCCCCTCAGGAATTCCCAGGAAGGACTCACGGAGGGAATTTCCCAGACAGACACACAGACAGACTAAAGTTCTAGACACTGAGCACAGATGTTTGCCTGGGGTTGGCGGTGCTGGGAGCCAACGCAGGCACACAACTTTTCAGGGAGAAGTAGCCCAAAGCAAAAATCAAGACCAGACCCGCCTAGTCAAGCCAGGGGCTGGAGTGAAGAGGGGCCCAGAGTTGGTCCCTGCGTTCCAAGACCCTTAGGTTGCCTCTGAATTGCACAGTGCCTGCAACCCTCCTCTCCGTCCACCAGGCGTCGCCGCGGTTCCAAGAGGGGACGGGGCCGGGAGAAAGTGTGTGGTTGGGGTCGGAGCCTGGCATTTAGCAAGTTTGTCTTGCCGGGAGCTCGTCGATTTCCCCTACTTCCCGAATTCGGGAAAGCATATGCCAAAACTGATCGCGGACTCCCCTGGAGTGGCATTTTTATCTTAGATTCACCCTTGCACTTTGGGTGCCCACCGCAATGCCTGGTGTCTCCGAGTGTTCCATTTATTTCCGATGAACAACACAAACACATGGACAGAGGAGTGACAGGTCATGGACTAAAGTGAGAATGCTGGGAAAGCGCCAAATCAGGGAAGGAGGTCTCCGCGACCTGCTTGTGACCTGGATTTCCCCACCACCTCCTCTCCACCGAGACGCAGGCGGGGCGGAGCGGACGTGGTCCCGCCAGGCTGGGCCCAGCGAGCTCGAACCTGCTGTACCCAAGCCGAGGAGCGCAGGACCCCACACGTACTCGCTCGGTGCGTCCGCAAAAAAGGGAATTCGACCCAAAGCCATCTCCTCTAGGGGACAGTCTTGGGTCACCCTCTCTAAAGAGTATCACTGTCCACTGCCCTATAACCCCTGTACTGGTGTCTCTTCAGAGCAACATTTAACACCTTGACTCCACAGTGAGTGACCTCACTCATTCCACAAACGTTTGTTGCCCACCTACTGTATATGCTGCGTGCTGTGCTAGGCGCTACTAATACAGTGAACAAAACAAAATCCCTGCTCTTATGGGACACGTGGGCTGGTTAGGATGGGGTACTCTCACTGGGGACACGCGGGAGGCCGACACCCAGGTGAGCAAAAAGCGCGTGAGGTGCCGCCCTGGGGCCTGTTGGAGGACAGACTTCGGCCCGGGAGGGTGGGGTCGGCCGCGCCTCGGATCGACGTGAGGCTTGGGCACGTAGCCTCCGGCAGGTGTGCGTAGGGGTGAGGGTGAGGTGAGGGTGAGGGCGATGACCCTGACCCATCGCGGGGTTACTTGGCCTCCGCACCTCGTTGGCTCACGGTAGATATTTATCGTAAGTGCAGCGAGTCGGACCTCCTGCGGCTTCACCCCGGGGCGGCGGAGAGGAGGCTGGCGGGAGCCCTTCTCGGCTCCAGACTCCTCCCCCGCGGGGTCAGCGCGGGACTTGCCGCGGCGTCCAGGCCCCGCGTAATTACAGGGGCTGTCGCCAGGCCTGGCCGTAAAAGACTAGGATGAAACAGCCTGGGAACCAAGGAAGCTGGGCCCGAACGGCCAGGGGCCCGGGGTCAGCGGCTTCCCCTGCTACGCAGCCGCAAGAAAGAGCCGGTTAGGGACGCAGACACACGCCACCACCCCGGTTGCGCACACAGGCACACAACTACACACATAAACCACCAAGCCTGCAGACACACAGCACTCAGCTCTCCAGCTCCAGGCACACACTCGAGCCTAATCAAACACCTGCCCACCCTCTCCACCCCAGGAGGCGACACCCGCCTGCCAACCCCTCTCCAGACGGCTGGAGATCCCGCCTGGGAGTACAGCCCCGAGAGGCGAATTCCAGTGGGTTTGTTTACATGGCACGGGGGAGGGAGCCAGAGCCGGGTACTTGAGCTGGGTTCTGGGGCCCGACTGACTGGGAGACCAGCTCAGATGGAGCCGAATCCAGCTACACAGCCCCGGGACGCTGCGCAAACACATCCCTGTCCCCCACCTCGCCCCACCCCCTCTGCACGCCCAAACACGTTTCCCCTGGTCTTCACACACTGTTCACAAACATTAGCATGCGTATGTCAAAGAGTTTCACATGCTTCCACACACGCGGCTGTGATATTAGTCACAAATGCTTTCACACTTGCGCGCCATCACACGTATTTACACACGCCAGATGTACATGTGTTGGTTAGTTTGTCACCCTTCAAGCCCAGATTTTCACAGTCCATATTCAAGAGCCCATTCGCACGATACACACATGTGATGTCACACACACGGTGGCCTTTGGCTCATCTAAAAACAACAACGGACACCCTCCCGGGTCCTGGGTCCCGCGTGTCCTTAGGGCGCACCGGCACTAGTGGACAGAGGATCCCTTAGCTCTGGCCGCACACGTTACACACTTGATCACACACAGCGTCGCACTTTATTCCCGGCATCCAGGCGATGACACAATCTCTTGAACAAAGACAACATTGACAAACCCAACAAAAACAAACAGCCGCGTGTGTGTGGGGAGGGGCAGCCAAGCGCAGAGTCCGGGAATGGTGGGGGGGAGGGGGCAGGAGGAGAGTGTGGGAACTCGGGCGCCGAAGACTGGGTTTGTGAGCCTCGGAAAGGTGTGGGCAGATCCACAACCTCGCGCCCTGCAGGATCTGCACCAAGCGCTGAAGCCGGGTCCTGCACCCGAGCCTTCGCAAAGCCGCACGTGAGAGTTTGTTCCTTTCCGCAGCAGGAGACGGCGCCCAGTCCCACAAAGCCCACAAAGCTTCAGGCAGACCCCCAAGTGAGCAACTCGCAGCTCTGGGGTGATCTCTGGGAGCAGAAGAGCGCTCTCCCCTCCCTCCGCCACCCGGGGCCTCCTCCCCAAGCTGCCCTCCCCACCAAGCTGCCCTCCCCTCCTCCACCACCTCCCCAGCCCCCAAGCCTCGGGGCAGCCGCGCGCCGGGCGGGGCGGGGGCGGGGCGGGGTGTCGGGCGGCGCCGGCCCAAAAGGCGGAGTCGCCAGGCGAAGGGGCCAGAGCTGTGAGCGCTGTGCTCAGTTCGCCGCGGAGAAAACCAGCGTGAACCCAGACCCCAAGGAGCCCCTCGTTCCCGCCCGGCCTGGCCAGGCCCCGCGCTATGGAGTTCCTCTGGGCCCCTGTCTTGGGTCTGTGCTGCAGTCTGGCCGCTGCTGACCGCTACACCGTCTTCTGGAACAGTTCAAATCCCAAGTAAGCCCCGAGTCTCCCGCTGGCAGCCTGGACGCCGGCACTGCCCCTCCCCAGGGTAACTGTCCTGGCCAGCCGCTGACCTGAGCCTAGGGGAGGCAACCCCGGGCGGGAGGAATTCTGTAGCTTTTCTTCCCCTTCACTTTCCCCTCTAGCTGGGAGCACCCCACCCCGGGCAGGAACCTGTCGGTGTCTGCTTGTACTGTGCTAGTTCTGCCCTTCCCTTCCTGCCCTCTGGCACCCTTGTCACTCTGAAGTGAGGGACCCGGTATAGACCGACCCCCCTGGCCTCCTGGGATCGTATTCTAAGCCCCCCAAGCATGGAATCTGTGTCCTCCTTGTGTGCCACTTGGGCATCTGTCCATACTGACAGGTACCTGATGTGACATCAAAAGGGAGCACAGTGCTCAATGAGACTAACCCTGAAAGGGCCCCTGAGAAGGAACCCCAGCCTCAGGTATTAGGCATTCATTCTGTATTTAAGATGACTCTGAGAAGCCTCCCATTCAGGGGTCTTTTGGGATGGCATAAGGGAGGCACATGCTGTGCATGGGTACATTGAGGGAGTCACCCAGTTTTGAGGGTTCAGATAATCCTACTGAAGAGAGAGGTCATGGGAAAGAGTCAGAAGGACTGGAAGGGTTTAAAGGGTTACAAAGGGCTTTGGCTAGGAAGGAGTTAATTTCTCCTGGGCAGGTTTAGGGCTGTGAGGCAAATGGTACTGGGAGGAAGACACTCTGTCTGACCCTTTGTTCTTGCCCTTGAGTTGTCTGAACAACATTTGAAGGAAAACAGGAGAGGAGGGTAGGGCAGAGCAGGGAGCAGAGGGCCTGGCAGCTGGGGGTGGTGAAAACACCACTCAGCTCAGCCACCCTGAGCCCTAGCAGGCCTGTCTCCCTGTCCCCTTAAAGAAAAGATACTGTGCCAGGTTCCTCTGGACCTGTGGCATTGGGTTGGGGGCAGTACCCTCCTGGCCATGCTGCGCCACTGCAGCCCATCCAGTCCCTCCTGCTCCGCACTCCTGGTTGTTTGTCCTTTGCCTCCTTGACCCAATCTTTTCCTAGTAGTGAGAGAGCAAAGTCCCTGTTTATGCCCATGCCAGGTGTTGGCTGAAGGAGGAGGAGGGGACAGGAAGCCATGAGTAGGGAGGGGGAGACTCTGGCCTTTTCCGTTCCCAAGCTCCCAGGTTTCCTCTCTTTCAGGAAGGAGCCTCTTCCTTGCCCCCCTCCCCGCCTGCCCTCCCGACGCCGACGTGGCCCCCTTTCCCAGATGGAGAGCAAGAGTCAAGTGAGGGCTAAGTAGAGGAGATGGTGCCCCATCAAGCACAGTTTCTGCCCTGCCCCTCTGACCACACACACACAGCCATACCCAGGACTAGACAGGAGCCAGTCTACAGTGGAGTCCATTGGCAACCAAGCTGGGCCCAGCTCGGGGGCAGAGATGAGGTGGCAATGTGCTGGGCGGGTGTGAGGCTGGCATGGTGACTCAGGGCACTGGGCACTGGCCCTGGGATCTCCAGGCCCCAGGCAAGATCAGCGTGGGGAGAAGGGTGGTGCCACTGTGAGCTGGGCCCTGGCCCCAGTGGTGCCAAGGGGCAGGTGTCCCGCCTGTTCAGACCAGCTGGTCAGTCCCCTTTACCTGGAGGCCAGTGCTCAGGGCAAGCCTGGGATATGGGGGGCTGGGGGCTCTCCATGCTCAACAAGGTAAATTTTCACAGGTTCCCCTGAGTGCTGGGGCGGGTGGATGAGGAGTGAGTCAGTGCCCGTCACGGGAATGGGGGAAAGACGCCAGGCCCAGAGCTGAAATACCTGTTCCGAAATGGCTTCTATGTTTATCTCTCCAGAGAGGAATTTTAAAAGCCTCCCTCTGCTCCTCTCTCTCTCTCTCTCTCTCTTCCTGGGGTGGGGGAGGGGCCCTAGTAAGCTAGTTCCAGCAAAGGCAAGCTGCAGAACCAGGCCCTTAGGGGTCATGCAGACTGGGCAATGGAGGCCCAATTCTGAGGCCTCTTGACCTAACTCCTCCCCTGCCCTCCTGCCCTCTTGCTACTCTTACCCAGGGCTTGGGTTTGAGTCCAGATGGCAGCCAGCTCTGCTGTCTGTCTGGCTGTACTTAGGGGAATTCAGAGAAACTGACCAGTTTGTGTGTGGGGAGATTTCCCCCTGCTAGGACCCCACCCAGGATGGAGCCAGGTGTCTGGAGCTGGGGGGTGTGAGGAGGCAGTATGACTGGAGCCTGTGGGTCTTTGGGGGAAGGGAACAGCTCCACTTGGGGAGGAGCGGAGAAAACAGGCAGCCTCAGGTCTGAGAACAGCCTTTCATCAGAGTGAGGTAGTAGGCAGCTTTTGGAGGTAAACAGACAGGGAGTTTGGGGGTGCTCTCAGAGAGGAGGACCTGGGCATAAATTTGAGTAGCAAGAAAGGGAGATTGGAGTGACTTGGTGAAAATGATTTAATTTAAAGGATTAGGGGCATTATCTATGGGTCTGGGTCTGGTCTAGGGGTTGAGGGAAGGAGCAAACTTGGCAGACTCAGTGGGTTGGGCCGGGGGTGGGGTGGAGGGATGAGAGAAGCATGAGGGGCTCAGCATGAGCATGATAAAGAGAAGGGATTATTTGGGTCCTGATTACAGAATGGCCCCAGTAGGTTTCACAGATTGAGATCTACTAGCATTTAAAGGGGCAACTGGAGCAGGATGTGCTGACACACATGTGATCCTAGCAACTGGGGAGGCTGAGGCAGGAGGATTGCTAGCTCCAGGCCAGCCTCAGCAAGTTAGCAAGACCCTGTCTCAAAATTAAAAGGATTGGTAAGGGGCTGGGGATGTGGCTCAAGTGGTGGCGCGCTTGCCTAGCATGCATGAGGCACTGGGTTCGATTCTCAGCACCACATAAAAATAAAATAAAGATATCGTGTCCACCTAAAACTAAAAAATAAATATAAAAAAATAAATAAAATCATTGGTGATGTAGTTCAATGGCAAACTACATTCAACCCCCAGTACTGGGGGGTGGGGAAGCAACTGGTAGAATAAATTTGGGGGTATATTTATGGGTAGAGAAAAGAATAATGAAAGAGCTACAGAAATATTTAGAAGCCCATCATTGGGCAAATACTTGGGTTACTGAATGCTTTTGTATCTGAAACACTAAGTGGAAGACTATTAGGAGATGATGGTGTTGGAGGCACGTTTGGAGATAGTAGAGAAATGAGATCAAGATCTGTAAATATGGGCTAGGGATATAGCTCGGTTGGCAGAGTGCCTGCCTGGCATGCACAAGGCCCTRGGTTCAATCCCTAGCACCACCAAAAAAAAAAAAGATCCATAAATATTGTGAGTTGATATTTTAGAAAAATCTTTGGGTCTGGAGTGAAATGTTAGGGGTCATGAAAACAGTCTAAGGCTCAAGGCTTGGGCCTGGCTTCTGAATGACCATTTGCTTCCTCCCACTCTGCACATGCTCAGGTTCCAGGATGAGGACTACACAGTACACGTGCAGCTGAATGACTACGTGGACATTATCTGTCCCCATTATGAGGATGACTCTGTGGCAGAGGCTGCCATGGAGCGGTACACCCTGTACCTGGTGGAGCATCAGGAATATGGGATATGCCAGCCCCAACCCAAGGACAGGATCCGTTGGCGGTGCAACCAGCCCAAGGCCAAACATGGCCCTGAGAAGCTGTCTGAAAAGATTCAGCCCTTCACATCTTTGCCCTTGAGCCAGGAATTCAAGGAGGGACACAACTATTACTACTTCTGTGAGTGCATGGGAGTCAGGCACATGGGTGCACCTACTGGGGGCACAGTGGCATAAAGCATATGCTTGGTGGGGCTGGGGTTGTGGCTCTGTGGTAGAGCTCTTGTCCACATGGGTTTGTTTCTCAGCACCACATATAAATAAATAAATTAAGGTCCATCAACAACTTAAAAAAATATTTTAAAAACAAAGCATATGCTTGGGGACATGCTTAGTGGAGAGTCAAATAACACAGGACCCCTTCTAAGCCTGAATTCTATTTTCATTTACTCATTCATATCACAAATGTGGAGAGAGCTTCTGTGTAGCAGGCACTCTCTTTGGCACTATAGGCACAGATATAAAGAAAACATTTCAGAATCTCTGCTCTCAAGGAAGTTGGGAAGGAACACCCATAGTCAACAGACCATAAGAACAGGGTGATATGGTAGGCATGAGCACAGGAACATTGGGAAAATGGCCTGTGCACCTGCCAGGCTAGGGGGAACAGAAAAGGATGATGAGGAAAATGACTCCAGAGCTTAGGACAAGCAGAAGAGTTTGCTAGGCACAGACACATGTGCAAAGCAAGCATGACCTCTTCAGGAACCTCATGGAGTAGGAGGCACAAGGGAAGTGGAGAAAGATGAGTGTGGAGCGTCGACAGGACAGATTGTGGGAATATAAGCAGTGTGGAGGAGTTTACCGTGAAGGCAAGGAGAGCCGCTTGTTGTTGATAAGAATCACAAGGACAGCTTTGTGCAGAACAGATTCAGGGATCACTGTGTAGGTGGGCCCTTAGCAGGGGTGGTAGAAAATAGCCCAGGTAAAGAGAAATGTATTATGAAGGCCTCACCCAACTTCAGGCTTAGAGGAGTGAAGGATGGAATATATGGAGGGGACCATGTCCTTGTCTGTGTCCTTCTCATCACCACTGCCAAAGCTGGGAGATTATACTAACCACTGGGTGGGAAGTGGGCAAAAGGTAAGGAGGATAAAATCAAAAGTAGAGGGCAAAGAGGAATTAGAGTGAGCAGGGAGCCAGGAAGCAGGACCAGACACTCTAGATTAACTTCTTCTTCAAACATTCTTTCCTTAATTCCCTATGGGTTTATCTTGCAGCTGTACCCATCAACCCCGTAGAAAACCACTGCCTGAAGTTGAAGGTGACAGTCAACAGCAAAATCAGTGAGTGCCTGACCCATGGGCCCCCTCCCTCCATCTCTATGCTGGGCTGGGTCTAGTGATGTGGGATAGTAAGGAGGTCCCACTGCCCGGGCCACCCTGCACTCACACCCCTCCACTTGCCTAGTACAATCCTGATCTACTTCTACTCTTGCCTTCCAGCTCATAGTCCTCAGGCTCATGCCAATCCACAGGAGAAGAGACTTCCAGCAGGTAGGTGGCTCCAACTGGTTCTGGGGCATAGGATGTGGCTTCTTTGCCAGTCAAGGGCTGGGGAGACCCTATTGGGCTGAGGACCAGTACAAATAGGGGCCACTTATCTTGAGGGCATTTTCCATCTCACCTTGCAGATGATCCAGAAGTGCGTGTTCTACACAGCATTGGTCATAGTGCTGCCCCCCGCCTCTTCCCTCTTGCCTGGACTGTGCTGCTCCTGCCACTTCTACTTCTGCAAACCCAGTGAAGATGTGTGCCACACCTGGCTTAAGGATTGGAATTGGGCCAAGGAGCCAAGGACAGGCACACCTCACCTGTCCTGGGGCCTGTCTCACAGCTCCAGCCCTGGGAACCACTCCCACCACAAGCATAGGCTGCCACCCAGCAGCCTCAAAACGGGTCAGTATTAAGGGTTTCAGCCCAAAAGAAGTCAACCAGCCTGACAGCGCCATCCCCCCACTTCAGAGGGATGAAGAAAGAAGTGGGGACTGTCCTTTCCCTGCCATTCCTGCCTTTAAGCCAAAGAAACAAACTTTGCAGAGATGGCCCCTGATGAGGGTCCAACAGGAACAAAGCTGGAAGGGGCCTGAGGCCATGTAATGGACAATGAGCTTGGCAAAGATGCCCCTCCCCGAGAGAGCCTGGATGCCCAGATGAACTGACTGAAGGAAAAACAGTTTCCTACAGGGGGCCAGGTACAGGAGAGGCAACATGCTTGGGCTGACCAGCATCTCCCAGAAGACTTCTGTCTGTGGGGCTGCCACAGAGAGGTTTGTAGCCAGGCACTGCGCCCTCCCCCAGTATTGGGTCACACTACCTGGAGCTGTGCCAGCAGGGAGGCTGTGCCAACCTGTTCTTAGTGTAACTTAAAGGGCAGGGCCCACGTGTACAGTATCTGTATGTAAACTTTTTGTGTCTGCTGATTTCTACAACTGGATTTTTTTTATACAATGTTCTTTGTTTCAAAATAAAGCATTGTGTTGGTTTTTTTGGACGTTCTTTTCTGCCCCTCCACGTTGACTTGTAACCACAGCGTCCCTGCAGCACCATGCTCTGTTCAACATACATCAGAAGCAATCCGATTTGAAATTCTCTCAAAGGTACACACCCCTTATCAGGCCAGAAGGGTGCGGAGACCAGAGTGCTCCCCTGAGCAGTCTCTCGGGTTCCACTCGGCACCCCATTCTGGAAGTTCTTCCGGTCCAACCTCTACCCCACTCCCACCCCCTCGCACAGGACTTGGCATACCATTCAGGTACTCAAGCTGTCTGGATGAGTCAGGGAAGCTGATGCCAGCTGAGGCATGCGCCCCGCCTCACAGCTCCAGGACAGCAGTGGGAAGGCTGGGAAGGACACTTCTCAGCAGCAAGCAGGTTGGGCCAGGGGTCAGTGACAGGGGCATGCGTGGGCTGGGCAGGCCAGTTAATGGACCTTGTGGCTGAAGAGGGAGGGGGACGTCTGACGAAGGAAGGCGGTCTTTCCTGGCAATCCCTGCACGTCGGGGGGGGGGGCGACGAGGGGCTCCGGTAACCGGGAGACCCACACTCTGGGCCACCCGCGACCCTGATTGGAGCTCTGGGTGGGAGGCAGGCGGAAGCCCGCTGCCGGGGCTCCGGAGTTCCACCACACCTCGAGCACGTGAGGCTGGGGTCCAGGCGCTCCGACGTGGGCGGCCGTGTGGGGGACAAACTCGCGAGCCCTCGGAGGGGATCCGCCGGGATCGCGAGGGAGACCTCCGCACCCGGCCTCCGGGCGGCGCAGCCCAGGCGGGCGGCGCGCGAGGGCGGGGTGCGAGTTCCGGCGCGGCGCGCGCGCCGTGCGTGGGGCTCGGCCGGTTTCCGGGGGACGGCCGCGCGCGGGGGCGGGGCCGGAGCGTGTGGGGCGGGGCTCCGGCGTCGCCCGCTACCCGCGGAGCCTGCTGGCGCCGGGCGCCGGGCGCGGGATCCGACTCCGGCAGCATGGGGCCCGGCGGCGCGGCCGACACGCTCCTTTCCGGAGCTTGCGTGCTCTTCACCCTCGGCATGTTCTCCACCGGCCTGTGAGAGCGCGGCCGGGCCGGACTGGGGCAGGACCAGGAAGTCAGGAAAGGAGAGAGTGGGCAGGGACGTGGCCGTAGCCGGGGCTGCGTCCGGAACTCGGGGTCAATGTGGAATCCGGTTGAGGGGACCGGGGTGCAAGGGCGAGGCTGTTCGCAAGCCTGAGGGAGGGGCGGCCTGCGGGCCTTGGGGAGGGTCGTGAGTACTGGGCATCTCCCACCCACCCTTCATCCCTCCCTTCGGGACCCCCTTACAGCTCGGACCTCAGACACATGCAGATGACCCGGAGCGTGGACAGCGTCCAGTTCCTGCCCTTTCTCACCACGGATATCAAGTGAGAGGGGCGACGGCTGCTTTGGGAAAGGCTGTCTTGAGGCAGACGGGGGAAGGGCCGGAGGACGCGGAAGAAGCCCCAGGGGACACCCTTCTACACTCAACCCAGTGGGCCGTATCCCTCCCCTCCGCCCTGCAGCAACCTGAGCTGGCTGAGTTACGGGGTCTTGAAGGGAGACGGGACCCTCATCGTGGTCAACGCCGTAGGTGCTGTGCTTCAGACCCTGTATATCTTGGTGTATCTTCACTTCAGCCCTCAGAAGGTAGAAAGCCCTCCCTGGGACCCACCTTCCTGGTGCACGCCCTGCCTTGCTGGCAGTGCAAACACTACTTCCTAGAAGACTATAACAGGTTGGCACTGCCACCTTTTCCTAGAAGGTCCTCCTTCCAGCCTTGCAGTTCTTCCATGAAGCTAGTCTTCCTGGACTCACACATTGCCCCCCAATCTGGCAGGGCTGGTAGTGCTGCCCTGAGCTTCCATCCAACAGGCTGTGAAAGGGCTTCTGTCTCTTGAGAGCTCCTTCAGGGCCAGTGCCTGAGAATGAGATGGTGAGCTCATCTTCCCCAATCACACAAGCATTTATTAAGCTCCTACTGTGTGTGCCAAGCTCGCAGAAAAAGATACCTTCCCTTCCCTAGAAGGAGTGTTCTGTGGATAAGACATCTCCTTCAAGTCACTGATGGGAGACAGGCTGTGACAAGCGTAATACTAGAGGTTGCAACAAAGATTACTTTCCCCACTGGAGTATGGGAGAGGGCAGGATGAAGTCATTCCAACAGGGAAGTCAGAGTGCTCCCACACATTTGGAAATAAGACTCCTCTTTTTCACCTGCAGTGTGCTGTGCTCCTACAGACTGCAACCCTGCTGGGGGTCCTTCTCATGGGTTATGGCTACTTTTGGCTCCTGGTGCCTGACCAGGAGGCCCAGCTGCAACAGCTGGGCCTCTTCTGCAGTGTCTTCACCATCAGCATGTACCTCTCACCACTGGCTGATTTGGTGAGTGGGGGTGTCCAGGAGGTAGGATAGATAAGGACCAGGCTCCCATAGCCAGAGACTGTGGCTATACTCCAGAGGAAAGGAAGATCCAACCCTGGAAAGAGTCAAGGCAGTAGAAGGGGGAGTGGGAGAGGCAGGAGAGGACTGGTGACATCAGGAAAGGTGTTTGACCTTTTTCCTGAGGAAATTCTTGGACAAGATGGGAGCTTGACTATATACCTAGACCAGGAGTGTCTTTCATCCTTTCCCACAGGCCAAAGTTATTCGCACTAAATCAACCCAGTGTCTCTCCTTCTCACTCACCATTGCCACCCTCCTTACCTCCTCCTCCTGGTCCCTCTATGGGTTTCGACTCAAAGATCCTTACATCATGGTAAGCAGAATACGGAGGGGGTGACAAGTTTGTACAGTGAAAAACTGGCTCCCCGCCTCATAGCAGCCCTTTGATTTCAGGTGCCCAACCTTCCAGGAATCCTTACCAGCTTTATCCGCCTCTGGCTTTTCTGGAAGTACCCCCAGAAGCAAGACAGAAACTATCGACTCCTGCAAACCTGAGGCAGTTCACCTGACCACTGGGCACCTTAATGCCAACCTGATACCAAAGCGCGCTCCTTGTTTTGGCTGGTCCTGGAGACCAGTTCATGGGTGCAGTACATTGTGGGAAAGAGGACTTTGAGATTAGAGGGATCAAAGAAAGAGCTTTACTTAGATCAGGTGGGACCTAAGAGATGAAATCACTTCTTTTTTTAAGAGATTATCTTTTGTAATTATGAAGGTTGGGGTTTTATCTTTAGAATGTGCCTTAAAATAAACTGTTCCCCACCCCTGCCCATCATGGCTTATTCTTTATTCATGATTTTAAACCTGTCTAGTTTGGTGGAGGGTAGACCTAGTTATCTCAGGCTGGTAAGTTTGGCTCAGAAAAAGTATCTGGAAGAAGCAAGAGGTTGGAAAGACCCAGGAAGGCCTTAAAAACCAAAGCTTGGAAGTTATAAAGAATGGAAGTTAGGCTTAAGATGTGTTTCCTGTTAAAGAGACCAGGAAAATAACATTTATATTTGGAGAGTTCTTGAGAAGGGGTTTTGCCTTTTTTTTTTTTTTAAYTTGTAGATGGACACAATGCCTTTATTTATTTATTTTTACGTGGAGCTGAGGATAGCAAGCGCTCTACCACTGAGCTACAACCCAGCTCTGGGTTTTGCCTCTTTTTGAGCAAAACTGGGGAACACCAACCAGATGCAAAAGTAAAGGCTGAGATGGCCTCAGGAAAGGCATCTTCTCACGACCACTGGTATACAGCATCCGCAATTCCCATTCTGCATACTCAAACTAAACAAGAGTTAAAAAATAAATTTGGTCTTTAATGGGGAATGTGAGGGAGGGTTGTCCAGGCGGGAATGGGGTTAGAGTGTCAGAAGCGTAGCCCCCTGCGGGCTAAATCAGCTCGGGCCTCCTGAATCTGGCTCTGCAGCTCACGGGCGGCATCCTCGCAGTCGTGAAAAGTGGCCACGCGATACCCCACAGTGCCCAGAGCATAGCAGCCTGCGGACACCAGCAAGTAGGCGGGCAATGGCCACAGGACTTCCCGGCAGGGCGAGGGCAGGTCCAGGCCCAGAGCTCCCATGGTCAGGGCCGCCCAAGCCGAGCCCAGGAGCGCCAATGCCCAAAGCCATTGAGCTAGTTTCGTCATGGTCACTGCGGAAAAAGAAAGCAAAGTTGGGGGTCTCTTCCGACCCGCAAAATGCCCTACATTCGAGACCCATTTCCCCCTTGCTCCCACGGTCTTCGCCTTCCCCACTAAGCCCTGAAACTACAACCTTACCTCTCGCCTTCGTCCAGCTGTCCGTGCGGTCCCGGCCGCCATCAGCTTCCGGGAGTCCTCCGCAGCTCCGCCCCGTCACCGCGCGGCCTGCTGGGAGCTGTAGTTCTCAGGGCAGCGCCCGGTGGGTTCCAGGCAGCGCTCGGAGCTAGACGAGGTTTCCTAGCAGTTTCTGCTCCGCAAACCATAGGCTGGGTTCCTGGAACTGCTTCCCTATTCCGGGATTCAGCTCCAGCTGGCGTGGGGCTTGTAGAAAGACTGAGCTCACCCCTAAACGTTGCAACAAGGTGGGAATATAATATGATCCCCAGGGCATTCATTCATTCACTGAAGCATTTCTTGAGCGCCATGGTAGACTGGAGATTTAAAAAAAAAAAAAAGCCAAGAAGATGGAGCTGGTACTCTATAATGGTAGAGTTTTTGTTGTTATTTTGTTTTGTTACCAGGGATTGAATCAGGTGTGCTTAACCACTGAGCGCATCCCCACTTTTTATTTTTTATTTTGAGACAATTTCTCACCAAGTTGCTTAGTGCCTAAATTTCAGGTTTAGGGCTGGGTTTGAACTTGTGATCCTCCTGCCTCAGCCTCCCGGATCGCTGAGATTACAGGCGTGCCCCATAGCACCAGGAGGTGATAGAGTTCTTGCCTAGCGTGCACAAAGCTCTGGGTTCTGTTCTCAGAACCAAAACACACACACACAGACACAAACACGCACACACACAAAGTGCCAAGAGGCTTGAGGAGGTGGGGAGAGGGAAGAGGGGAAGGAGTCAGGAAAGCCCTGAATTGATAACTAGCCATGATGTCTTGAGGTAAGTATTATATATATTATAATACTTTAGGTAAGTATAATATATTAGGTAAGTATTATATATTATAGCTTGGTGGGAATGGTTTTTAAAAGAAACGCACAGGGGCTGGGGTTGTGGCTCAGTGGTAGAAAGCTCACCTAGCACACGTGAGGCACTGGGTTCAAACCTCAGCACCTCATAAAAATGAAATAAAGATATTATGTCCACCTACAACTAAAAAATAAATATTAAAAGAAAAAGAAATGCACAGGTGAAGCCAGAGGGAGAAGGACTCCAGGAGTTACGTCCTTTAAAAATCGAAGGAAAAGGGCTTGGGTTGTGGCCTAGCACGTGCAAGGCCCTGGGTTCCACCCTCAACACCACATAAACATAAATAAACAAAATAAAGATATTGTGTACAACTAAAAAATATCTAAAAAAAATAGAAAAATTACAGAGGAATTATCTGATATCTTTGATCTTTAAGGTATTAAAAAAAAAAAAAAAAGTGTGGGCTCACACAAGTTTGGCAGAGCCAGGCACAGAGGCACAGCCTGTAATCCCTGAGGCTGAGGCAGGAGGATCAGGAGTTCAAAGCCAGCCTCAGGAAAAGCAAGCGGGGGCACTAAGTAACATAGTGAGACCCTGTCTCTAAATAAAATGCAAAATAGGGCTGGGGTGTGACTTCAGCGGTTGAGTTCCCCAGTGCCAAAAGGGCGGGGGTGGGGGGGTGGGGGGTAGGCATGGTGGTGCATGCCTATAGTCTCAGCATCTCTGGGGGCTGAGGCAGGAGGATCATAAGTTAAACACCATTCTCGGCAACTGTGCAAGGCCCTAACCAACTCAGTGAGATCTTGTTTCTAAAAAAAAAAAAAAAAAAAAAAGGCTGGGAATGTGCCTTGTGGTTAAGCAACCCTGGATTCATCCCCAGTACCAAAAATAATATGATAACATAAAAGGGCTGGGGATGTGGCTCAGTGGTTAAATGCCCCTGGGTTCAATCCCTGGTAACAAAATAAAATAAGTGATGCAGCTCAGTGATGGAACAATTGCTTAGCATGTGTAAGGCCCTGGGTTCAATCCTAGGGGGGTAAAAGATAATAAGTTAAATGATTATAATAATAATCAGAAGTAGTAAATAAACATCTGAGCAGCTATTATGTGTCATGCCCTGTGCAACAGTGTCATGTTTAATTTTCACAACATGCTGCAGTCGGTATTTTCACATCCCCATGTATGAGCAAGGAGACACAGAAAAGATAAAATGCAAGTAAATTGCCCAAGGTCAAACAGATAGTAAGAAGCCATCCAACTCAGAGGTATATTCTGGGCAAAAGCACTCTGCTGTGTTGCTGGTACAGAAGTGGTCAGACAGGGATCATGGTAACAGCGAGCATTCACCGATTGATTTCTAGGTGCCAGACACTGTGGTGAGTGCTGTAAGTGCATATCTCATCCAATCTTCACAGCAACCATATGAAATAGGTACTATTATTATTTCTGTTTAACAAATGAGGAAACTGAGGTGCAGCCCAGACAATCTGACTTCAAAACCTGCTTACTTTACCACTACAATATACCATCTCCCTCTCCAGGTCTATGAAACAGAATAAAGAGGGAAGAAATTGATAAGCATCTATACCAACTTAGCAGGATAGAGGTGGCATCTTGAGTGAGGAAAGACAGATTCTGAAACCTCATATCTTATATTAAGATACTCAGTGCATTAAAAATATATTAATATCATGCTCCCATCTGATCTAGTTTGGATCTGAAATGACCCCCCCAAAGGATTATATGTTGAAAGCTTGGTCCCCAGTGCAGCAATGTTCAGAGGTGGGGACTATGGGGAATGATTGGATCATGAAGACACTGACCTCATCAATATACTAGTGCATTGATGAGTCAAAGCTGAATGGACTACTGGGAGGTGGGACCTAACTGAAGGGAGTGGGTCCTTGCTGGTGTGTCCTTAGGAACTATATCTTGTCCCTGGCCCCTTTATTCTCCCTCCCTCTGCTTCATGCTGCCATGAGGTGAGAAGCTTTCCTCCTCTATGCATTTCTGTCCTGAAGTTCTGCCTCATTTCAAGCCCAAATCAATGGAACCAGCCAACCATGGATTGAAACCTCTGAAACTGTGACCCAAAATAATTCTTTCCTCCTTTTTTTTTTTTCTTAATTTTGAGTCGGGGTCTCACTAATTTCTCAATTGGCTTTGACTTACGGTCCTCCTACCTCAGCCTCCTGAGTCACTAGGATTACAGGCATCTTGGCACTTGGCTAAATTTTTCCTCCTCTAAATTATCTTTGTCAGATATTTATCTTATCACAGTAACAAAAACCTAACATACTGCCAAGATGCCAACACACATACACACAGAGCTAGGGGTGTAACTCAGTGGTAGGCAACTTGCCCAGCATACGTAAGGCCCTGGGTTCAATCTCCAGACAGACACACACACACACACACACAGTGGAGCCCTACATATGCTACAAGAAAATGTGTGCATATTTCCCTAACAATCAGCTCAAGCATCATGTCTGCTAAGTAGCCTCCTTGGGCCTTGGTCCTGTCTTGGGGGTTGGTTACCACTCCGTCCTCTGTGCTCCCACTGAGTCTCTTCTATAGATGGCAGTAACCATGTTGAACTACAAGAGATTTGTTTCCCTGCCCAGGACCATCCTGTCTCTAGAACCAAGCACAGGGTGGGAAACTCAGTAGGGTTTCTATAAATGCAGAGAAGGACAGGTTAGCATTTGATGTTTCCCAGAGAAACTGACCCAGCTTCCCTGGTCCCTTGGTCCCTGGTCCCCTACTCCAAAGGTTCCAGTCTACCACACTCAGGGTCTTTGGCCATAGAAAGCACTGGGCAAAAGCCAGAAAATTCTTAAGGTCCAACTCCTTTCTCCTCAAACCTTTTGCAGATCATCACCCTTCTGCCACAGCAGGACGAAGAACAGGTGATGGCCACAGGGTATGGGAAACAGGGTAGCTGGGGGTAAAAAATTGGGCTTTTGGAGCCCAGTGGTCCTGGGGATGGATCTTGGTTTCTTCCTTTATTTATCTGAGTGACCTGGGGCAAGTAATTTTAGCTTTTTGGACCTCACTTTTCACAGCTGTACAATACAACCAATAATTGATCCTCTCTGGGTGTGGCAATACATGCCTATAATCCCAGCAACTCAAGAAGCTGAGGCAGGAGGAACACAAGTTCAAGGTCAGCCTCAGCAACTTAGCAAGACCCTGTCTCAAAATAAATAAAAAGGACTGGGGGTATTGTTTAATGGTAAAATTCAATCTAGTACCCAAAACAAAAGCAAACAAAAGACAACCCAATGTGATTTAGGTAGGGTGCCTAAAACAATGTGTGATATTTGGGAGGCATGAGTGTGTATTAGCTACACTTGTTGGTATGTACACTTGCCACCAGTTACGGTCTCAGGGCTGAGGATGCACTTTAGCCCTGCCCTGGCTCCCCCTCTTACCATCATTCACAAACTGAGTGAGCTAAGTTACTTCTGCAGCTGGCCACGCTAGTAATTGTTGACATTTTCTGTTCTTTTTTTAGGGTGGGGATACTGGGGATTAAACCTAGGGGTGCTTTATTACTGAGCTCCACCCCCAGCCATTTTTATTTTTTTATTTTGAGACAGGGTCTTGCTAAGTTTCTTAAGGCCTTGCTACATTGCTGAGGCTGGCCTCAAACTTGCAATCTTCCTGCCTCAGCCTCCTGAATCACTGGACATTTTCTGCTATGACTACCTTTGGTTAGAGAGGGAGACAAATTCCAAACCCAAGAGCCCCCATAAAAGATGGAGAAATATGCAAAACTAAATAGGTCCCAGAGGAGGGGAGCTTGACTGTCTGGGGAGAGGTTTTAAAGGGGGCCAGAAACTTGAGCTGATTCTAGAAAGATGAGTAACCATTTCCAGTTGAAGAGGAAGCACGGGAGGCCAAGGAAACAGTCTGAATAAAGGCACAGAGGCATAAAAGTCTGTGGTGAGTAATCCTTTGTGACCATCTCTGGGACAAAGAATACTTCATGAGGTTGGGGGAGAGGTGGCAGGAGATAAAACTGGGAAAGCTGGCCAGGGCCAGGTGATTAAAGACCCCTTAAATGTACTTGCATTGGGGGTGAAGGGTTGGTGCCTCAGGTCAGTGGTCCCACCCCATGGTCCCCATATGTGCCTGTACATCATGTCAGGCAGTAGGACTTGGTAACCACAGTTGCCAAGGTGATTACTAGGACCTTGGGGAGGGTTTC